ACAGATCTCATCTTCAAAGATCCATGCAGCTCTTTGTAGAATAAAGATGTTATAACCTTTATTATTAAGGACACTGCATTTGATTTAGAAAGCTAGTGTTACTTTTGCTGTCCATTAATACTTTTTAGGCACTCAAACATTGTTTTTTTGCCTTTTTAAATGAACTATCAGTTCTGTGTGATCCAGAGTCATATGACAAATTTTCTTTTAAGCCCATTAGTTTCATTTCATATTAGTTCTACCACGTCACAAAATGGTTAAATGACTTAGATCAAGTCAGTTGTAGAGATCGGCCTGGAGCCCAGAGGTCCTGACTGGCAGCTTTCTTCTAACCACTCACCAATGCAGAAATTTTACCTCCTCGACGATCCAAAATTTTGAAGAAAGCCATGTGGTTCTTGGAATATGCATGCCAACAGAAAGTGAACCACTTGTATTATATTGGCACCACACAAATCTCTGTTATTAATATTCATCAGGGTTTTGCTTAGTGCTTGTATGTATCATCTTCTAGGAATTCTGTTTTAAAATATATGTGGGAAAATTCACATCGACTGTCTAATATTATCCAGAAAGAATTACCAAACATAAAAGGCTTATTTTGTTGTATTCTATCCATACTTGGAAACAAAGTGCCCTCAGCATCCAGAAAAATGTGGCTCTCCTAGCAACCACACACATTTGAATGTTATTTGGCTTATTATAGAATGTCTCATTTTAAAACATATATACATATATATACACAAATATTTTAAATGTTATTATTTAAAGTTATAAAAACTGAAAAAGCACGCAGAAGCCATAAAATCTTCAGTGCCTGCCTCAACAGAAATTGGTAGTGATCATCTTCAGTTTCTCAGTGTCTGTAAAGCTAGGCTTTGAAGTTGACACTGCAGGCAGAAAGTCTTCATAGGTGAACAGGCAGTTTGAAAATAACTCAGACAAACCATGTTCATTCTTCTAACACTGGCTTCTAAGTGGATTTTTTTTTAAAAGTTAATTTTCAAGCCACCAATTTGTCTACAAAGAACAATATTAGCTAGTAATGTCAACTTCAAAGTCTCACAAGAGTTACTGGCTACAGCTGCACTCAGGACTCCTCACAAGCAAGGAAGTTCTTGTCCTCAGGCTCCTTATGTGTCTAACCTTTTTATTTCATTTTTTTTTAAAGTAAAGAAAAAAATATGGGAAAAATAGTAAATTTCTCCCTAGGGGAGGTATTGTATAGTTAATAAGTATCAACTCATCCAGATTGTTTTTACACATAAAAATCCCACATGGCTTGAAACTATTGCTAGGCGATTATACTGCTCATTCACTAACACATATTTTAGAAACAATGTTACATTACGGAAAAAAAAAAAAAAAAAAGAAAGGAACAAACAGCTAACACATAACTATATGAAACTGACCAAACCTAGAACTGTGGGAAATACAGTTCCTACCACACCTCCACACCCCACCCTGGGAACCCCATCAGGTTTTGTGTGTGTGTGTAGGGCTGAGAGCATGGGAGGAAGGGAAGTGCTGCCAGGTTTTGCCTCCCTTTTTTAAGCTAATTTTTTGAACTTCTATTTACATGAACATACTGAAACTGACTGCTCAACCACAAACCTCATTTGGAACCATAAGTACTCACTCAGGCAGCAGCAGAGACCACACACGCACACAGAGAGCAAATATTGTGTTAAATGTAAACTACTAAAAAAATAAAGAGAAAGTTTTTTAAAAATTGACAAGATAAGGTAACTGTTTCTGTGCTTGTTTCATCTAAATTAAGATGACCAAAAGTTGCATTTTTCTTTTGCATAGTAAAATTTCAAAGCTGTATGAAGCCAATGTTCAGTTATAAACTTTTGAATGAATAACCATAACATTTAGTTCAGGGTTACAAACATTTCAGAATCACCAACAACCTCCATTCCCAAGATATTCGTAACTCTGAGGTTCTACCGTAACATATATGTGAAAGATTTTATACTATAGTCACTGGGATCTAATTTCAATCCGTGAATAAAAAATACTTTAAGTTAAAAGCAAAGTGATGAGAACATCAATGTTCTAAGATAGGCCTATTAGGAAAAAAATAAGAAAGTTAAGAACTACCAAGAAACATAGAGAAGAAAAGAAACAAGTAAGTGGAAAGAGATGACCATGTCCAGTGGGTAGTATCAACTAACACTGGATGCTGAAGGAGATGGTGGATCTGTAAATTTTAAGAGAGATTTGGTTTGCCAGAATCTACAAGCTTCTAGAAAGTGGGCATGGCTTCTGATATCACAGTTCTCTACTAAATTGGTTAGCTCATCTTATTTTTCAATCTTAAGTTTTCATTAGGGTGTTTCTTAGGTTTGTAGTGAATGCTAAAGCTGCTGAGCAATACTGCAAACACATGGGTAGCATTTAGTAATTACTAAACATCACTCTATGAATTTATATGACTTGCCAAAAAATTGAAGGCAGCAGTAAGTAACTGAGTAGACTGAAGTAATAATGGAAACAGATCATTCTTCTGAAGTAAAAAGAAAACATTGTCAGGAGCTCTTAAGTAGTGAGATGGAAAGGATTAGTACTCATCTCAAAAAGCACCAAATAATGCTTTCTTCGTGAGCAAATGTACAAATGAATTAAGCTTTTTTCTACTGAGAGAGCAGTACACTGATGAGTCTGATGATCCTCTATACCATTGCTGTTATTGAAATACAGCTGCAATAAAAACAAGTGCCTGTTTCAGGACATATAACACCTCTTCAAAATACATTTTATTCAGGACCAGCATCAATTCACCCCCCAAAATAACTAAGATCAATCACTGGTTATGGTATGATAAACAAATGAAAGATAAAGACTTCAAATACTTGATAAGAAAGTTGCAACCTTCTTTTTATATAGAACAAATTGAGAGCAATGTTAAGAAAATATTGGAAGACAGAAGGAAAGTGCATTCCTACTAAATGTCATTGAGTCTCTGAAAAAGAAAACCATAAAACATTAAACTCAAAAAGTCTAGAAATTTCTGCCAAGAAACTAGAGAAAAGTGTGACACATGGTCTTGGCCATTTGCTTAGATAACAAAAAGAGAATTTTAAAAAACTGAAAAAGATTAAAACTTCTCAGATGCAAATAATCTAAACCTCTGACATATGAAGCACACGATTTTTTCCAGTTGAGATATAAAGTAACACCTAGCCCAGTTCTGCAGATCATGAAAATTCAAAAATACTTCTGCAACCACCATAAGCTTCATGCGCACTGATGGAAAAACTAACGTCCTAGCTTCCTAATGACACTCTGGTGAAACTCTTATGAAGCCTGCTTGTTTATATTTGCATCCAACTGCCACAATCCTGAAACATGTGCTGAGCATAAAGAAGACTTTGATCAAAACACAACATGTGTTTTACACAACAAGGAACTCTACAGAGAAGCACTACACTTACAAAGCAACTGAAAGTGGTTTCGAAGGGACTTGACAGATGACGCTCAGGCTGATGACACTGCTGCTGCAGTCTCAGTGGAAATCTGGCTTGATCTATTTAACAACAATGAACTAGAACCACAAAAAGACAATCCAAACTGATTCAGAGAAGTTCTGGAACCTTTCGATTAACTTGGCCAGGATTAGCTACAGAGTCCTTCCACTACTGACCGCAAACACAAAAGCCATCAGTTGAAACATAATCTCAAATTCCTTAATACCCTTCTAGCATTTAAAATTGAAGATCGAGATTGCTACCCTAATTCTATGTCTATGAAGGCTGTTGTTACAGTTAGTAACATCAAAATGGTTGAAAAGAATGGAAATAAAACTCTGGAAAAACTTCATAATAGGCTAGGTACTGAAATACAAAATAAATTGGTGAATGTGTATTGGTATAGAAGGGAGGATAAAGAGTATCATAGTAGACTGGAGACACGATTATTGCTTTTAGGCTTTACTTACAGAAAACATGCCTTTTTATAGCATAAGAAAATATAATTAATGAAAAAAGCATAGAAGAAATACTATTCACTTGACTTCATAAATCTCAGAGGTTTACTGTTTCTCTCCACCTTTTTTTAGCCCCCCCCGAGAATAATGAGGGGTGGGGGTTTTTTGAAGTGGGGAAAACCATCAATCTTCACCAATTCCCACTCATTTGTCTGTTAAAATGAGACTATTTGAAAAGACATGATTTTTTGCATTTTATAACAAAAACGGACAAAGCTAATCATATGAAGATATCACTTGAGCACTTACAAGGGAGTTTTTTTTCCAGAAGGTCTCTATCCAGTCTCTGATGATGACAGGATGGTAAACATGCCCATGAACAATCTACACTAGTACTTCCACAATTGTTAGCACTGGCTGATCTACACAAATATTAGGCCATGGCAGGAGAATTTCTGTAAATCTTCAGTGCAGATGCAATTTCTGTGAAGCTTTTTTACAGTGAGTCCCTTTTATTGGTGCTACATCTCATACCCTGAAACTAACAGGGCGACTTGCTGAACGCTGGAGTGATAGTAATAACTGCTGAGCAAGACAGTCAGAAAGCAGTTTTGTCCTCTAAGAGGACAATGCTTACACCCTTTCCAAAGAACTGACCTGACTGTACAGTTGTTTTAGTTTGATATGTTTTGTAGGTGAGCAGAGGGTCAGCTATTGATTGTATTGATAGCATTTAGAAACTGCTTAAACATGCAGCAGCCATTTGAATACTTTTTGAGTACAGTTTGACCTCCTGAAAGACGAGGATACAGTGACACTTCAAAGAAGTGAAATGTTTCATTCTCCTTGCAATCACCTGCCTGATTTCTCACTTTTATCACAGAGACTATAAAAGGAACTCAGAAAGATTTGCTGGTAGCTAGCTTCAATTTCGTTGTAATATTACTAGATAAAAATTAGAAGGATATTTGAATAATTTTTCCATAAGAGAAAATGTAAATCAGTACATATACAATGAGTAAATTAATCGTGCGGTACACTTTTGGAAAAACAGTAAATGCATTTTTACCTTTGTGTCATAATTTTATAGGCATCTGGGAGGAAGCATTCTGTGTTTTCCATCTGGAAAGGGTCGGCATCACAAATCTTGTCATCTGTCCGTCCATAATTAGCACTCTCTATCATAATAACATCACTTCCTGGACACCGAAGGTCAATGGAGTAGCCCTCACAAGACAGTTCCCTCCTAACTAAACCAAATGGTAATGCTGCTCGGCTGAAACCTTTAAAAAAAAAATAAAAAAGGAATCAAATTAGAACAATGAGAAAAAACTGACAAAAGGAAAACACTTTCTGGCATATGCATGGATGTTACACTTTCTGTCCCATGCTCAAGGAGAGGAAAATAACACAAGCCATTACAGATGTTTTTTATCACATTCACAGAACATAGCTTTTGGAATTGTAATCATATTAGCCTAATTACAAAACATCTTTAAAAATATCTGAATGTTTTCCAAAGATCTAAATTCACATTGAATTGGTCCAGGGTCTGCCTTTTACAGGCAGTGTGCAAGATAAATACAGTAATGAGGTATTGCCAGGCATAAGAGAAAATCACAGAGTGAAGAAATGTTTTCAGAATTTCAAAATCATCTGGTGGTTTCTTCTGGATTCCGCACATTCCGAGCTTTAATTTAAAAAAATATTACAAAGTTAAGTTTTCAGCCCTTTACACTGAAAAGCTACTGTTTTTACAGTGTAAATCAATGTGCTGCTGCTTTTTTATTGCACATTTGCAGAAAACTGAGCTAAACAACAGGGGAGAATTCTTCTCACAACCAACTCACATAACTGCCAAGTTTTCAGAGGCAGGACCTTAGGGTGGAGGCTGGCAGCTCACGATCCTCCATGTAATAACCTCACGACCCCCTGAGGGGTCCCGACCCCCATTTTGAGAACCCCTGGAGTAGATGAAGAAGTTGATTCGGTGGGAGTTCCAGTACGGGGAAGTGCTTGGTGCAGCTGAGTGTGTAGTGGGCAGTGGCAAAGGCAACTGATTGGGTGAGATTGCCAGCGTCAGGGAGCCAGCTGCAGCGAGGTCAGTCTACTATCAACACTGGGGCACAGCTGAGGCTGATTGACTGCAAGTACTGATTGGTGAACGGATGGAGCTAAACTACTACTTGACCCAGCAGCAGCCAGCACAACACATCCCACACTGCAACTGTGCTTGATCCTGCTTCCTGCTCCCATGTCTGCTCCAGCCCAGCCTGCTCTTGTGCCTACTCCTGCTTGCTTCCAGCCCATGCCTGCTCCTGCCTTTATCCATCCTGGACACCCTTGGCTCTGACCCCCGGCTCTGCTTCTCGACCATGTCTCTGGCTCACCCTGGGCTTGGGCATTTGGCTTCTGACCTCTGACTCTGACCCAAGATGGGGGGGGGGGGCCCGTGCTGGCGCTGTGTGCTTGGGGCAACTGGCTGAGTGGTGAGGGGGGTGCCTGACTGGAGCAGTGGGTGTGCATTTGGTGATAGGACGGAGGTGTGGCCTCAGGTGTGGGTTCCCTGGTGATAATGGTCTTTGGGATGGCAAGAGGGCCTTATGATTAGCACCTTGCCAGGCAGCTACTTTGCCCCCTATCTAGCTACTCAGATCCCAGCCTGACAAGCAGTCTGTAAGAGTGAGGAGCAGGCAGAGATGATGAGAGTCACAGCTAAACAATGTGAGGGAAAAGCATTGCCTCAATCTCGGTTCTCACCCTTTGTACCTCTCCTCTCTCTTTGAAATGCAGCTTTTCCTTTCCCAGGGATGTTCCATGTCCCAAAGGTGGCCCCCATGACATTTTAGCGTACCTACCTATGCCATTTTGCATAAACTAATAGCACATTACTTGAGTAAGAGCACTTATGAATAAGTATGTAAGTAATTTCTGCAGAAGTGTGCTGAAAAGTTCCTGCATCCAATCAGGAAAATTCACCCCCTTTCCTCCCCAAAACATCCTTCATTAATTTGGGGAAATCCTTGTTTTTACCCCAAAAAAAAAAAAATCTGAAATCTTCTTCTGTCTGAGAGAATTCCTTAAAGCAAATCATTCCATTGAGAGTTTTGAAGTAACATGCAATTGTCTGGGCACCAAAACCTAGGACTAGCTAATTCAATGGGAAACCTTTTGTCCTTTACATCAGTTCTTTATGCAGTCAATGTAGAGTGCTAGCATAAAGTAGCTATATTCTGCTATACCAGGGGTTCTCGAACTGGGAATCGGGACCCCTCAACTTATTACATGGGGGGTCATGAGCTGTCAGCCTCCACCCCAAACCCCGCTTTGCCTCCAGCATTTATAATGGTTAAATATATTAAAAAGTGTTTTTAATTTATAAGGTGGGTTGCACTCAGAGTCATGCTATGTGAAAGGGGTCATCAGTATAAAAGTTTGAGAACCACTGTGCTATACATACAAGATTTGACATAGACCAGATTGCTTTGTCTCCCTGACACAAAATTTGAACCCGTCATCATATTAAATTGTGTGATACGTTAGATGATGTGATAAGACTAAATAACAACTTCTTTAAAAAAGTAGATACTTTTCAACAGCACCAGAGATTTTTTTCCCCCCAGCGTTCTTGTAAAACTAGTAACACACTTTAGCACTGTTATAGTTAAGATTCCATAAAGATTTCTGGCATACACTAAAGGGTTAGGTATTTCAATATTTACCCATCTTTGGTACTCTATACATTTAAAAACAAACATTTCTCTCCCTTCCATAAGCAAAACATTTGGAATACTATACACATACAGTCATTATTACACACATACAGTCATTATGTGTTCAGAAAGATTTTTGGTTCATACATTTATTACACACATGCAACACAGCATGTGAACCATTTGGTATAGTCTACTTTAAATACGGCATATTACCGGGGTGACCAAATAGGTGGAGGAAGAGAGACAGCGTAAGGGGCTCTGAGAGCCGCACTTCCACTATAAAAGAGACGCGGTTTGGCCACCACTGGTATATTGTATTAATATGATCGGCATAATTATTATTTATTTACAGGAGTTCTCACACTGTGTTATGTGTTTTCCAACCAAACACAAAGAATGCCCAGTTTCTGCACCATAGAGTTTATAATAAATACATTGTAACAATAATACATAGCTAAAATTAAAATGAAGACAAACAGACAAAGAGCAGGTGGTGTAGCATGTGCCATTTTGGGGCGTTTGGATGGGGCTATGAAAGAGAATATTCTCAAGTCACATACATACTGGTTTCTTATAATCATGGTACCAGAAGTATGTCTTTAGAAGGGAATCAAAAGCAGAAAAAGTAGTGGCTTTGTGGATCTTTGTGGAAGAGTGTTCTGTGCAGAATGGAAGAAAGCACAGAGATGACTGGGGGCAAACTGGAGGATAGTGGAGTAACTGGAGGAGCAGAAGAGAAAAGAGGTGACAAAAAGGACAAGGCCAAATAAGTACAGATGGGCAGAATTATGTGGAGCTTTAAAGGAAAGGACAATAATATTGAATATGATGAGGTGGAGAAGGAGAAGCCAATGGAAAGATTTCTTTAAATCTTTAAAAAAAGAAAGATGGTCAAATTGACGGGTGAGAAAGTGATCTTGGCAGTAGTATTTTATATGGACTAGAGAAGCACCCTTCCTATTGTGTTAGTAATCTGTGGATTAAAACTCCCATTGTATTGAGATGATGAGCTGTAAGATCTCCAAAAGACTTGTTTCTTTTAATCATGTCAATCTGTAAGCACAGTCAGTTTACACTCATACATTTTAATATTTATTAAAAACAGAAGAAAGAATGGTACACTTTAAAACAAAGAAACTCCAAATTAAACTTTCATATCATCCAAAACTCATGCCCCTATGTTTGACAGAATGTATGATGCATAGCATCAAACAATAATATTAGATCTTTGCTAAATCTAGTCACAATGGGCCAAGATAAAACCAGAAGGTCATGCATGTTCTCTTCTGATACACGAGTGTGATTCAATTACAGTCAACATATTTTGATCCAAAGTATATACACTTTAGCACCATGGCCCCAGCCATGCCAGGACTAGCAATAATGCTGCCGATGCATTCTGTGATTCTGAAGAACGAAGTCATCCAGCACAAAATAGGGAATTACTTAATTCTGCCTCTGCTGCCGGCTTTTTCCTGTGGCGTCCTGGCAGTTTGCAGAGGAGTGTTAGAAGGGCCGAGGGTGCTTCTGAGGGAGGTTAGCTGACATAGTGTGGCTGACTGAGCACAATAAGTCACTCCGTGTTTGCAGCATCAGGTCAGACACTTCTATCGTTACAGGGATGGTACTGAAAACCATGCTACATTATCTATGATGAATACAGATCGTTACCCTCATTTATATTTGCAACAGGAAATATACTGAATCCTGCAAATACTGTACTGACGTTAGCTAACTGCAAATCTTATATCTAAGGGAAGTGGCAATTGATTTAAGTATCATCAATTGTACATTGACCTAGATTTCACCTCCCCATTCCCTACATGCATTGCTCTATATTGGGGCTCACATTTCAAAATAATAGACAAGCTAACGTCAGGTCACTCACTGGGTAACAGAGGACGCTCAGATTATATTGTAGGATGCTACTCTGCAGAGAGAGAAGGCAGTAAAGCAGTGTGTTAGACAGGGACGTCCCTCTATGGAATTTTTACAACACAATCGCCATAAAGAAAGCAGTAAACAAAAAAATTAAAAGTCCTGTGACAAAGCTGATGTGATCTTTATTCTAAGCTTCGTTTATAATCTTTTTCTAGCAACAAAGAAAAAATAAGCATTTCAAGAAGCAAAGTGTAATTCAATCCATCTTGCAACCCTGACAATTGAAGAAAGAACTAGTGGGAGGCCTTGTGAGTGAAAAATCAATATTGCAGCTTTGTGCCGTGCAAATGTGAACACTGCCAAATAGCAGTGCTTAAGGTAAAATGAACTATTTTGCTCCATTTTCTCCTCTCTGAATAAATGATTTTGAAAAGATAGCTTTTTTTACAGTGCTATAAAATGTCAAGCAATAACGCTCTGTGCTTTTGGTGAATGATTGGAATAAATACCTCTTGGCAACAGGTGCAGTGACTTAGGACTGAAATACATTCACATTCAAGAGATAACTCCTGATAAACTGATACAGGATGGAAATTTGAAAGACCAGGGTTTTGCATCATTTCAAAGCATTTTACAAGTAAGTATGCTACTCTGTCAATAATTACTATTGTCACTAGCAACTTTAT